GATCTGACCGGTAGAGCAGGCGACAAGGTAAAGAAGGGGATTGAAAGTCTACATGAGCGGGTGCACGGGGTCGACAACAAAATTGAAAGAATGGAGGGTGTGCTACTAGTTATGTAGGCGCAAGTATCCCGACCCGCCCTCCCTCCCCAAGACGCTGTGGTTCCGCCAGGAGTAGCCAACCGGGGATTCAGATGGAGAGATCCTGCTAATGAGCAATGCAAGTACTGTACCGCGATGGGACATTATGTGCGCGCATGTCCAAAGCTCAACTATGATATCCTAAAAAGGAGATGCACCAGGTCATTAAAGGGAGAGATATTCGGACCACAGGGAGAGCGGGTGAATTGGAACTCACYAGGAGGAATGSGACGAGCCRTTATCATGCTCAATGGGTTAGAGATAGCGGTCGTRSAAGCTGAGCCGGTGGTCRATATCGTTTGGGATCAACTGCGGGGCCGCGGGCCGCAGGTCAACTTTATCTTGGAAAACGACGAACGTGATAGGGTGAACGCAACCACTCGACTAGGAACGGCTGGCAGAAGGATTAACCGTGACACCATTATGGAGGAGGTCGCCGGAAGCTCCGAACCCCAGGCAGAACCTGAGGCCGAGGAACCAGAGAAAGTCTATGGGAAGCCTAGGGAAGAAGAGCCTACGGACAAAGTTGCCACCGCTAAGAAGAAGTTTCGTTATCAAATTCCGATCTTGACCTTGCTTGAGCTCGACGACACCATTAGCAAGTTACTAGGGACCATGGTGTCAATGTATTTTCAGACGATGCTGCAGGCTAGCCCTAGGTTGCTCAAAGGGCTTAGACAACTGTTGACTCGGCAGCGAGTAGAAATAGGCGACAACCCCGAAATACCAGAAGGGGAGAGGGAGGAGGAAGCTCCGCAAGAAGTGGCTAACCTTCAGAGGAGTCACGGGGACTTGGAGGATCTCGAAAAAGACTTTGTCGACATTCGTTTGAGCTTGCCCGACCGAGAGGGCGACGAAGTCATGAGATCACCACCCGGGACGAAGCTCAGCTTTCATGCGCTGCCCGTAGGGAAACTGAAAATCCAGATCGGGAGTCATCATACCGACGCATTAGTAGACGGGGGAGCAGAAATCACTCTCATAAGAAGAGAATTCGCAACGATCACGAGATGTACGGTAAACAAGGAAGTAACAGGGAGCATCCGGGGAGCTGGCGGGGAAATCCCGTTCGCAGGGTACGTCACGAACTGCGCTGTAAAGGCAGGAGTCAGGGAATCAATCTGGTCGTTTCAGCGGATGACCGTAATGGAGGAAATGGACCACGACATGATCCCCGGGAGACTGTGGTGCGCGAACGTGGAGATGATAGGCATGCACTTGCATGATGGCTCATACATGATAGACATAGAGGACCCCGTGACCGGCCAGGGAGAGCTCCTTCGACCCCTTGGAAAGGGAGGAGACCCCCCGAAGGGAAAATTGGCAACATGGTCGCCGTCATTCGAGGATAGCACGCGAAAAGGGGCTTTCGCACGGATGGAGGGTATGAGAGAAAGGGTAGAAATCATGATTGAGGAAGCATTCAACAAGAAGGAGTGGATCAAGATGGGCCTGCCCCAGAAGAAGAGGAGGCAGGAGGATGAAGTCCTGGGCGTTGTGGTAGCAGAAAAGGAATCAGAGGTCGAACTTGGTGCTAGCCTACCCAAGCGGAAAGAAGTACGCCCAGACGTGCCAGAAGTTGCACTTGAGATCCCCGACCTATTACAACTCATCAAGGCCCTCAGATACCACAAGGTAGGAGTAGACTCAGCAACCTTGGCCAAATTCGAAAGAGAGGTGCAAAGGGGATATTGCCTGAATGGGAAGCTAGTTAGTATTCAACCACGAGTCGTGGAGGCGACGAGGGCAATTCCAACCGTTCATTTTTTAGGAGAAAGATCCCGGAAGGAAGTGTTCGAAAGTACAAGCCGGTAGGGAAGAAAGCGAAACCGGTCTCGATCCTGCTAGAGACATCAAAGGAAGAGGCTATGGAGAAGGAGGAAGAAGTCCTTCGACGGAGGGACATCGGATACTAGATGAGGTAGCTGACACAATGAAGATAGGGATAGACGGGTTCTTAACGGAAGAAGAAACCCGTCTGATCAAAAGGATCTGTCAGGAGTTTGACCTGGTTTTAGTGATCACCAGAAGGGACGGCTGGATGCGAAGCTATTCCCTCCGGTCAGAATCCACACGGTAAAACATGAGTGCTGGAATGACAAGGGGCCGTCCTATGAATTTGGGATAGCAGGAGAAGTAACAGACCTCCTCCGAGCGAAAATGGACTCCTTCGTTGCGGAGCCTACGGCGTCGCCATACGCAAACCGGTGGTTCGTCTTTCGGAAGCCTAACAAGACACTGAGATGGATCCAGTACCTGCAGAAGTTGAATGCGGTAACCATCCGGGATGCTGGCTCGCTACCTCAGGCTGACTTATTAGCAGAATCGCATGCCGATCGGAGCATTTACTCCCTGATAGATCTGTACTCAGGGTACGACCAACTTCCGTTGGATGTTCGGGACAGGCCATACACCGCTATGCACACCCCCGTAGGCCAGCTACAGATGCAAGTGACCCCTATGGGATTCACAAACGCGGTGGCCGAAGCGCAACGCAGGATGCTCGCCGTGGCTGGGGACATGTTCCCAGAAAATGTGAGCCTTACATCGATGACAATCCAATCAAAGGCGCGCAGGAGAAGGACGAGACGAAAGTCCAGCCACGAATCCGACGTTTTGTATGGGACCACCTGCAGGACATCAGGGACTTACTCCGCCGGTTCCTAGTATATAACATTACGGCTAGTGGACCAAAGAGTCTCCTAGCGGTACCGGAGGTAACTATACTAGGATTTCGTTGCGGTGCTTACGGCAGGAAGCCGGATCCGGCAAAGACCGACAAGATATCACCGTGGCCGACACCACTGCGCACGACGATGGAGGTAAGGGCATTCCTAGGCGTAGTCGGCTTTTGGAGGATCTTCATTAAGAACTTTGTCAAGATTGTTGAGCCTATCCGGGCTATGATCAGGGAAGAAGGAACCATGGATTGGACGGAGGAGCGAGAAGGAGTTGTCCAAAGGCTCAAGGACATATTGACATCTGAGACAGTCGCCCTGTCCGCGCCTTGTTTTAATGACGAAGTGGGATGACAATTCATCCTAGAGACGGATGGAGGACCTTTGGCCGTAGAGGTGTGTTGATTCAAAGGGATGAGGGAGGAAAAGAAAGGCCAATTAGGTTTGAAAGTAGAACCCTAAACTCCGTAGAGCGGCGGTACTCACAGTTCAAGAAGGAGGTCCTAGCCATCTTGCACAGTCTTAAGACCTTTCAGGCCTACCGATTTGGGAGGCGGTTCATCCTCAGGATCGATCCGACGAATGTTGCAGGGGCCTTAAAGAATTACAGGCCTTTAGATCCGACAGTGGGGAGATGGGTAGGATTTATCTGGCAGTTCGATTATAAGATCGAACGGATTGCGGGAATTAGGAATAAGGCTGATGGGCTGAGCCGGGTCTGCATCACTCCCGAAGGGGTGGAGGATGTGGAGCCCATAGACGCGTTCCTCGAATACGAAAGAGGAACTCTTGCGGTGGATAACGAAAGGATGAGCAAAGGATGCACGTCGGGAGAACTATTGATCCAGACTTTGAAGAAGGGGGCACCTGCCGTAGTAGCAGAACTTAGATAAGGACCAGTCACCACTCGAGGACGCAGAGAAGAAAATGACTCATGGGGAGCGATAGTAGTACCGAAAGAGTAACTAATAGCAAAGGCGGTCGAGGGAGGCCGGGAAGCAGTGATGAGCTTAGTGGAATCTTGGGAAAGGAAAGAGTTGCAATGGGTGGTAAACCAGATGCAGGAAGGAAAGGATGGGGGCAAGGAAGGAGAGGAGTTTTTCTATGTCCAATCATACGAAGGGCTCTTTCGGGAGATCGGGCTGTTATTGGTAGGAAACAAACAACCTACGAAAGTCAGTATTAAAGCAAGAGAAGAAGCCGAAAGGTACATCCTAAGGGGCGGGCATTTGTTCCGAAGGAAGGAAGGTGCTATGCCCAGAAGCGTTGTGTGCGGAAGATCTAGGCAAGTAGATGTTATCCAGGCAATGCACGATGGGTTGGCTGAAGGCTTGCAAAGATGACGCCACTCTATTATTGGCCAGGCATGGCAGGCATGGTCGCCATATACTGCCTGACTTGCCTTATTTGCCAAGAACAAAGCTCGGTGCGGGTCTTCGAGCCGCTTAGACCAACGCGGGTGCTAGGGCCTGGACATCTGGTCCACCTCGACCTTGCGGTCAACGGATGGGTACAGGTATATTCTAGATGCGCGAGACAACTTGAGTGGATTCGTGGAGGCGGTCACCCTCAAGAAAAAGACGGGGAGGAGTGTGGCAGACTGGATAGAAGACTTCTACTTGAGGCATCCTTTCGTCAGGAGGTTTATAGCAGACAATGGGACGGAGTTTGTGAACCAAGAAGTATTGGGGATGCTTAAGAGGCTCTGCGTACCAATCTAACTCATCGAGCCGTAGCACCCTGAGGCCAATGCACTTGTGGAAAGGGGGCACCGAACCTTGAAGAACACGATTGCGAAGCTCGCAGCGGACCATTTGGGGAACTGGCCTAGGTATCTTAAGTAGGCTGTCTTTGCGGAGAATATGACCCCTAAAAGGACAACAGGATGTATCCCGGCGGAACTTTGGTACGGAAGAGAGATCGACTTTCCTGTGGAAGCCTTGGTGCCTACCTGGAATAGGTTAGATGATGATCCGCAAATGACCACTGAAGAGTTAATCGAGGCAAGATGTCAACAGATCTTTAAGAACGAGGAGGTCATGGAAAACATCGCCAACCGCGTACTAAACAGCAAAATGAGGGACAAAGCAAGGTGGGACCAGGTCAAGAATGTCAGAAAGGAGCCACTTCAAGTGGGAGAGATGGTATTACTAAGGAACTCGGCACTAGAAAGTACTTGGTCGGGACAACTGGGAAGAAGGTTCAAAGGCCCCTACCGGATCGCTAAGCGTGCCCGCAAAGCCCCTCATGCACCCATTCCCCCAGTCCGGTAGGTAGTCCCCCCCCTTTTCACAGAATGCTCCCAACATCCTTCGCAGCATGCCCCTATTATACATGCGAATGCGTCGTTTGTGATGACACCATTTTTTCCCCGTCAAAAACTATGGTGCAATGCCCCAGACATCCCTTCCCGTTGTCAGACAAGCCAGATATTGCAAACCCCCAAGTCATGCTGCCTTTCAACCTCAGTCAGTCCAAGCCATTGCCCCAGTCCCAAAAAATGACAGTCCCATGGACATGGTCAGAGACAAATCATAGTGTGGGCAAGGCTGTGGTCAGTCTTTAGCTTGTGGCTCCTCAGTTTCCTTATATTCGGCCTCCTGAAGCCATTGTTCCACTGGGTCCCTGCTTAGAAACCTGACCAATCGTTGCCCCGGGAAGGGCCCTTTCAATCTAGTTCCATCCAAATCTTCCAGTTCGAAGGTGGGCAATCAACAGACCTACCGGAGGGGAGGAAGCAGGACCAAGCCAAGGGAGGAGGGCAGCGAAGAGAAAGTTGTACATAGGACTCATGGGTGGGCCAGTGCTAGGCAAGGGTGGAAGGAAATGCTTGTGTAGGAAACCCTCACCCCTCCGCGAGGGAGAAGGTATAGAGATCTCGTCTGACAGTGAGGGAGGGAAGGAAAAGGCAGGAGTGGAAGAAGGAGGCGATGCAAGTATGGGAGATAAGGTCCAGGTCTCTGACGAGGAAGGCGCTAACAGGGGTAAACGACGTGAGACTTGGCGTGGGGAAAGCGAGGGGGAACAAGACATGCGCGACGAACATGAGGAGGGCGATGAAAGAAGGGAAAGCCCGCTTGAAGGACGAAGCGGCCACGGCAGTTGTGAGGGGTATGGAACGGGGACAGAGATTCCTTTTACCTACGATCCGAAGAACCTTGCAGGTGGGTATAGCCCCATACAGACAGAAGGCGAGGAAGACGAGGAGGAGGATGTACGAGAAGTCATAGAAATCAGCAGCGGGGATGAGAGGGATGAGATCTCGAGACCTAGGGAAGAGGGGCGGCCTCCGATGCACCAGCCGGGCAACGGGGCTTTCAGATGGGAGGACGAGTTTGGACCAACACCCAGTCATTGGTTTCAGCGGTGGACCAATGTGATCAGGCACGAATGGATTGTCAAGACTCGGGAACTCGCAAGGGCAGGGGTGGAACCCACACCACTGGATTTTTTTAGCGAGGCAGAGTTACGGAAAATTGTAAAGATAAGGAGGGAAATCGAGACCTTCGGCCTGGGGGTTAGACAGCCAGCTGAGGAACAGGGTGGACCAAGAAACGAGCAAGTCGAGGCGCAAGACAGCAATAGGCATTAGATGTTGATTGAGTGTTGGGCAAGAATCCTGGGTTTATTTCTCAATTGCAAAACATTGGAGCAGAATGTGCATAGTATGAGTAAGCTTGCAAAGGATGAGTGATGGAAGGGCCAGCTAAGACTGTGTCGTGATAACATTAGAAGATAGCGTATTGAGGCTACTTTTGGATGAGCTACCTTCGAAAGTGGGTACACAAGACAAGGACATGGGGCATGGGATGAGACCAGGTGGGAAGGGTGTATTGTGAAATTTGGATGGAATGATGGATTGTGTTTTTTTAGGAAAGAAATTTTGAGTACGGATTGACGAGCAAAGCTAGGCATTGAATGTTGGTCGAGTACAAGAGAGGTTAGGGAACCTATGGGTGAAGGGGCGTGAAGAACACTCCTTCCCTAGGAGCCTAATCCAACTGAGTCATGAATGAGTCTGAGAATAGCCGAAATCTAAGTGATCAGAAAGAGTGAAAATGGAAGGGGCGCCCCTGTCTTTTGTTATGGATGAACGACCGGGTGGGCTAGTGCTGCTTGGGGTCACGAGCCCCAACTCGAGTACTAAACGCTAAGTCGGATGTATGCATGGATAGTACATTACTGTGAGACATGGAAAAAAGAAAACAGCATGCAAAAGATGAGATGACCACCTTCTAACCTCCAAGACAGAAATGGGATCCGTAACCTCGAGGCCCACCCCCTCGGGCACTAACATTGAGAATGGAAAGGAATGACCCTAACCAGGCTGTTCGACTTGAGAATGGAAAGGAATGGCCCTAACCAGGCTGTTCGACTTGAAAATGGAAAGGAATGGCCCTAACCAGGCTGTTCAACTTGAGAATGGAAAAGAACGACCCTAACCAGGTTGTTCGGGAATGGCCCCTGACAAGGGTCATTCCTTTTGAAATAGGCACTGGGGTCCCCTGCATATTGGATTGAGAAAGGTTGATTGGGAATGTGCTGGAATGGGCAATAAGAGATGGAAAAGGCCGGTGGGTCGGTCATTGAAATAGCCAATGGATGGACAAAAGAGATGGAAAAGACCGGTGGGTCGGTCATTGAAATAGCCAATGGGATGGACGGAAGAGATGGAAAAGGCCGGTGGGTCGGCCGCTGAAATAGCCAAGGGGGCGGAAAAAATATGTGAATAAGAAGGACAGGATAAAGAAGGCGGAACCCTAAAGCCAAGAAGGGCAGGGACCGTTGGGACGGTCACAAAGATTGGGTGTTGAGGAATGAGAGAATTGAGGATTGAATGGGCGGAAGGGTCAGTCTTGAGAAATGACTATTGAGAAAATGACCGCCAGACCGGCCATGTGGGTGGCCTTGTTGATAAGAGGCTGTCGGACCAGCCATGAGAATCAGCCTTGGAAATAACATGGGGTTGAGTGTTTGAAGATTGGATATTGCATTGCATAGCCAGGGGACCCTAGGCAACTTGATGTAAGGTCGTCGGGCCGACCATGGAAATAGCAAGAGATTGAGCTTTCTTTTTTTCTAGTCTCAGGTTTCAACATAAGGGGGACAGCAATGCCTGCTTCGCGACCCCAAGACCTCTACCCATTAAGGGAAAAGTCTCAGCGCGACTTGCTCCTCATAAGAAGGAATAAGGGTTGAAGGACCAAAGCACCTCTCTCTTTGATTGATGCTGGCCGTCCGAAACTAACCCCGACAACGAGCTCTAGTCGGGGAGTTCAAACAACGCCTCATGTTGAAACCTAAATGTCAAGGGCGTGGTGCCAAACGGGCGAGAGAGCCATTCTTTTTCCTAAGTCTCATTTTTTTTCCCCAACCACACGCCATGCCCTAGAGGGGCGGTACGACCGTTTGGAATGGACCACGGCTGCTCGCGTTAAGTTGAGCATCACTGTCCAGAGAGAGGAATCGGGCGTGGTACCGAGTCGACGCCGCAACCACCACAGGGCAAGTGACACCGCCCTGCCGGATCATTACAACCGTTCCGGGACTAACCACGAGGTCTTCGTAATTGCACTCGTAGACTAATAGAGAGCCCCAACTCTCTTGAAAGGAAGAGGCCGGATCTAAGAAAACACCGCTCGGGAGGAACGATTCGCGAGAAAGCACTTACGGCAAGATGGGGTCCTGGGAGGCATGGACTGGACCTACCTTCCAGATGTGGGTGATACCTCAATGATGACGCCCGTCTCGTAAGCAGCAAAAGGTCGGACTGGAGTAGGGGATGAGGTGAGTTCTCAGCAGGGGGAGGACTGATCACCCTTCCTTTTTGGGGCTGATGGGCCGGCATCCGTCTACTCAGTTGGTGGGCCAAGGTCTGCATGCCTCCGAGTGAGAACTAGTCGTGCGATGGGGACATCGCATTTTGAGTGGGGGGAAGGTGTGCCATCTACCGATGAAAAAGCGTGCAAAAGAGAAGGATACCATGAGCGTAAGAATGGATGAGTAATTGACTTTGCGCAGGCTTGAGAAAAGGCCTGGCAAGATGTCCAGAAGAAAAGAATGGATGAGTAATTGACTTTGCGCAG